ACCTTCTCCTCTCTGTCAACGCTCTCTGGTTTCATTTAAAAGAGTCGATCATCAGATATTGTCCAAGATTAAGGGTGGATCAAAAAGAAAAAAATTGTATAGGTCTTCTGGACGGGTTCTTCTCTAATGAAACGTTTCGTCTCTCCTCCAAGAGACTTCTTCAGTCTGAGAGTTTCAGGCAAAACTGCCTGAAACTCTCAGACTGAAGAAGTCTCTTGGAGGAGAGACGAAACGTTTCATTAGAGAAGAACCCGTCCAGAAGACCTATACAATTTTTTTCCTTTTGATTTTTTACCTGGATTACTGAGATGCATCAGGACAAGATCCTGGATCCGCCGAAATGAGTTGAGTTTTTGCTCCTCAGCATCGAAAAGAGTCAGTTGAGATGGTTTCTGTTCCTGTCACCTGGACCCGACTAACAACGAGCGGCAGAAAATGGAGATACGTTTTGGACGACGGATACCTAAAATACCACGCTGGACGTTTGTGGAATTGTTTCGTTTTAGTTCAGATGACCATCAAAATCATGCGTCAACCTTTAAATAATCTGTTACTTTCATTTAAGTTAAGAGTTTACTGTCGTTTTAAGATTTTCTTATTTGTGACCCATCATATCGAAACGAGGATTAAGTCTAAAATAGGTAAATATTAGTGTTTTGATTAAAACACTTACAAAATTGCAATTTGTCAAAAAATAACAAATAAATGCCTTATCACTGTTTCATTTGAATGAACTGTGTGAAATATAATTGTAAAAAAAAACTTTAAAGCACTTTTTTGATCAGTAGCAACAAAAAAAAAAAGATTTTGGGGGAAAAACACCTTTAAATTTAGAGATTTTCCCTGTGAGCTAGCAAATGTCAATATTCAAATACTATTTGAGATTTCCTCTTCACAATGAAATGAAAAATTCCTCATAAAAATGACATAAAATTAGAAATCAAACCACATATTAATGTGCTATCGTAACCAACAAGACAAATTAAGGCATATTTCAGGTTCCATTTATGAAAGAATGATCCAGATATTAAAATGTATCTTTTAAAGTCAGGAACATGAAAATGTAATGAGGTCATTTCAACCGAATTTGACTTAATCCTCATTTCGATATGATGGGTCACATTTTGTAAATAAAACTGAGAAAGTCATCGTCGATAGAATGCTTGTGATTGCAAAATGTTGACTCCAATCCAACATTTTCTGAGTTTTAGTCACTAATAGATGCCAAACTGTGTGTTTGTTTTGTTGGCAGGGTCAACACAGATATAACACAGTATAATTCTGCAGCCCTCACTTAGCTGACATACATGACATCCTCCTGCGGTCGAGCCCTATAAACACATGAGAGGGAAGGAACAGAGACAAACCATGAAAAAGATATACATTGGCAAAACTGCCTTAAAAGTCCCCCGAAATGGCGGCAAACACCCGAAAAAGAGGTAAGAGTGACTCTCTCGTCCATCTCTCTCCATCCGTGCTCCTTTTATCTGTTTGTCCGTTCATCCGCCCACGAGGCGTCTCCTGTGGTCGTGCAGTGGTGTTAAAGCAACCTCATCCCGCCTTTTCCGAGCCCAGAAGTCATGCTGCCTCGTCATCTCATCTCACCAGAATGAAAACACTCATTATGTCTGACTCAGCTCCCGCTCGCAGAGGAGGTCACTAATGGGGGATTTTTCATCCCTGGAGCCACTTCACGCAAAGTCACCCTGCACCTGACAACAAACACCTGTATTCCCCAGCTAATGCCTGCCCATAAAAAGAAGGCAGGCAGGAGGTGAGGTGGTGGGCACCGCTGGCTAATGCAGCACTTAAATGTCATCCAGTCGGTTGAGACGTTCATCGAATCAATCTGGAGGCAGGGATTTTCTTTTCTCTCAGTAGCTGCAGATGAAGCAGCTTTCAGTGAAACATGAACGCTTCGGAACCTGTCTAATGTTAGCTTTTTAAATTTTTCTTTCAGTCAAGCGTGCATCTTATGGAAGAGGATTAGGGCCACTGAAAAATTAAAAAAAGGAATTCTGACTTTAATCTCAGAATTGTGACTTTTTTCTGAGAAAAAAGTCATGATTCTGAGATTAAAGTCATAATTCTGAGAAAAAAGTCAGGATTCTGAGATTAAAGTCAGAATTCTGAGATTAAAGTCAGAATTCTGAGA